CATTCTGAAAAAGGTTGAAGCAAAATCAAAAGGTTGTCCTTACAAGGCTCTACCGTGCTTCCTTGCACTGATGTAAACAGAAATTTCATGCAATAAGAACTGATTGGGCCTACACATATCTTAATTTCTGAGTCCTAACAATGTGTGACAGGTCAAACAAGTTACAGAGAAATCTTAAATAAGTAATCTCATAAATCACGTTCTAGAAGCTTGTTATTCCCAAAGCTTTATCAGTCATATCTTCTGTTTTCTCCTGTGCTTCACTAGGCTTATCAACATTGCAAGCTGTGCTGGATTCTGCTGCTGAAAAGAAATGGCAAGTGACTGCTATCAATGTAGGAAATATTAACAATGACAGAAAAGATGAAACTTACCGTTCACTGTTTCAAGATCTAGAGGTAAAAAAAGAAAGGCGAGTGATTTTGGACTGTGAGCGCGATAAAGTCAACGACATTGTTGATCAGGTTTGCTATTCTCCATTTTTCAGTGACAGCAGTTAGCTATAGTCTATAATTAAATGTAATTCTCTTGATCCTATTTTTGTGATTATTATGCGTCATTCGGAAGTGACAGGTTTCTATTGAGGACCACATATATATCAGGCAGAAAGTGAACATACAAATCCTATAATCCCTCCCTTTGCTCAAAGGCAAGATAATTCTATCTGGATGATCCCATATGGTTTCATACCCTCATTGTTTTAAAAAAAAAAAAAAAAAGCCCCAACAAAAAAAAAAAAAAACCTGCAACAAAAAAAACCCTCATTACTGCTATTTCACAACCTGGGTAGTATACTATATGTAGTTGGTACACTACTATATATGGTGCATTTTAAATAGTGACATTATATCTAGGGATTAGTTCTCCTTACACCTAGAAAGTATTTTCTACTTCTGATGCTTTTTCTGAGAACATTTTACATCTTGGGAAGGCTGTATCAACAGCTTCTCTTTTACATTTAACTCTCTTCATAGTTCATGTTTCTAAGCTCTTTGTTATTTGTACTGTCCTTGGGTGTCTCTTCATTTTGTCATAGAATAGAATCATAGAATCATAGAATGCTTTGGGTTGGAAGGGACCTTTAGAGGTCATCTAGCCCAACCCCCCTGCAGTGAGCAGGGACAGCTTTAACTAGATGTCTCCCTCTTAAAGTGTATTAACCAGAATTGGATGCTGTTTTTTCATAGCTAAGGCCTCTAGAGCTTTAAACAGAACAGAAAATTATGTCTTCTCTTCACCTGCACATATATTATTTGGAAAATTGGAAAATGATTTTTTTTTTAATTTTATTTTTTACAACAGCATTACAGTGCTCTGAGTCATATTACTTTCTTACCTTCAAGTCCACCTCTTTTTAATCCTAGTGTCTAGGGTTGTCTTACTGTCTCTGTATCTTACTACTTCTTTTCATGCATGTAGAGCACAATGGAAAATTATAAGGATAGCTCCCTGCTGGCTTGAGCTTGACCATGTGAGACTGTGCAGCATCTGTAGGGGAATATCATC